CGCGCTGTGAATCCCAGCACTTTGGGAGGCGCCTGGAGGGCGGATCAACTTGAGGTCGGAGACTAGCCTGACCCACATGGAGAAACCCCCTCTCTTACTAAAAATATTTTTAAAAAATAGGCAGGGTTGGGGCGCTGGTGCTCACAGATCTGTAATGTCCCAGGCACTTTGGGACGGCCCGAGCACGGGGCGGAAATCAAAGGTCACCCCCCCCCCCCCCCCCCCCACCTGGAGATCGAGCCATCCTTCCGCTAAACACGGATGAAACCCCCGGTCTCTACCAAAATACAAAAATTTAGCCGGGCGGTGGGTGGGCGGGCGCCTGTAGTCCCAGTTACTTGGGGAGGCTGAGGCGAGGAGAATAGGCTGTAAACCTGGGTAGGCGGAGCTTGCAAGTGAGTTGGGAGAGCGCACCACTGACTCCGAACAGGGCGACAGAGCGAGACTCCATCTCAAAAAAAAAAAAAAAAAAAAAATAAGCAGTGTGTCTGGTGGTGTGCTCCTGCAGTCCCAGCTACTCAGGAGGCTGAGGCAAAAGAATCGCTTGAACCTGGGAGGTGGAGGTTGCAGTGAGCCAAGATTTCGCTGCTGCACTCCAGCCTGGGGGACAGAATTACACTGTGTCTCAGAAAAAAAAAAAAGGGCATAATAATAGCAGCTACATCACAGAGTTGGCAAGAGGATTAAAGGAGATAATCTATAGGAAGCCTGGCATGTGGGAGGTGCTATGTGTTAGTTGTTGTCACTGTCCCTATGATGGAAAGAAAGTTACAGAGACCATGTGACATCTTCTGTGTGGCCCATAGAGTTCAGAACAGATTTCTCCTCTGTGACCTGAGGCCCCTGGAGCCCTCATCGGACCCTCCGTGCCCCATGGCAAAAGCTGTCCCCTGTGCCATTCGGTCTTGCTGCTCAGAACCTGGCTGAGGGCGGGTCTCCTTTGACATAGACTCCAGGGGTTAGAGATCCAATGACAGTAGCCACCAAGAGGAACAGAGTTCCCGCCCTTCCCTTGTGAAATCACCAGAGGTTTGGAAGATTCTAGGAAGGGATGAGTGATAATGACCTTATGACCATAATGACATTATGAGTGATAACGACATTATGACATTTCTCCCTAATGACATAAACACATAAGTATAATGACATGTTTTTCCAGGGCACATCCACATACGTACCCTCCAATAAATCCCCATTGCCCTCTTGACTGGCTTATCTGTAAACACAAGGACACATGAAATCCTGTGGTGAGCGGTGGTGGAAGAGGCATTTCATGCTTATTAAGATAGAAACACAACCACCTGTTTGTTTCCCCAGACACCCCTGGGGCAGATGCAGTTCATCTGAGACAGTGGGAGCGGGGAGGCATCCAAATGCTTGGCTTTTAGGCCCAGCTCTGTCGGTCATGGTGAAACCTTGGGCAAGTCACTTCTGAACCTCAGTTTCCTTATCTGTAAAATGAAAACACTGTTGGTGAAGACCAAAGAGGTGAAAGGTGAAAATGCATCCTACATTGCAAAATGTTATACAAGTGTTAATTACTTATTAGTGGTCTTAAGCCAGACCATTAACTTCCTTTTTTTTTTTTTTTTT